AGGTGTTGGGCGTATTGGCGTCGGTAGGACGCTAGTTGGGAGGTCTCCTCTAGGGCTCCGGCGCCCTTGGCGCGCAGGTTGCCTGACTGCCCAATGCCGCTGGTCGACATGATGCGAGACATGGTGGCGCGCCATTGGTGGGCTTCGGGCTCGCGGACTGGCGCTTGTTAGCTACTTTGCTTGGCTGCTTGCTTGGGTTTGATAAGGCGGTTCAGGGGGTACTGACGTGAGGTGAGCAGTTTATACAAGTTCCCCATTCCTTCCTCGGCTGGAAGAGTCGGATCGCTCCCTTGATTGATGGCCTCCAGGTACCAAAAGGGCGATGCGATGGCGTCGGTGCAGATGGAGTTGGCTAGCATGGCGTGGAGTAAGACGTGTACTGTCCGCTTCTTCCCGACCAGTTCCTGTGGAAGCCCTTCTTTCTCGAGAAGGACAAATGGCGTCGTGGCGCTCAAGAACTCTTCCTTTTCCTTTAGCGGCAGTGCGGCGATTTTTCCCGGATCCGAGTGGGCAAAGTCTCGGGCCCAGCCATACCAGCTCTTGCTTCGGCTTTGGAACCAGGCCTTGATGTCAGCATCGGATGCGGCGAAGTTCTTGTTCTTGTCCAAGATGGTTTTGGCGTAATTGTGCGCCAGCTCCACCTTTTCTCTCAGCTCGGCCTCCAGCTCTTTAACCCTAGCGCTGGCCTTTCTACGGGCCTGATCGAGTCGTTTGTTTTCTTGCTGCAAGCGCACGACCTCGGGCTCGAGTTGCGATACCTGCCACCAGTATTTTTCCAGCTCCTTCTTCGCCTCCGTGACCTCGGCGGTCCATCTTGATTCCTCGCGCTCATGGTGTTCTTTGGCCGTCTTCGAAGCAGTTTCGATTTGGTCGTTGAGCGAGTTAATTCCGCTCTCGAGCGTGGAGATCTTGTCGGTCTGTCTTTGCACCTTCTTTTCTAGTTTGGCAATCTTTTCAAGGTGAGCCGTCTCTGCTTGACGATGCCCTCTCTCGGCTGTCTTCAGCTCAGCCACGCGGTCGCTGAGCGACGAGTTCTCCCCCTTGCTGTCTTCCACTGTCTTGTTCAGATTTTGTATCTCGTCATTGAGCAAGGATTCCCTGGCCTGGCGTTGCGCCTTTACATCGCCGATCTCGTTCTCGAGCGACCGTATTTTGCGTCTAAATTCCTCTTCCTGCTCGGTTCTGTAAGACAATGCTGTTGATTCTTCACGCCTCTTGTATTCAGCGACCTCGCGTGTGAGTGCCGATACCTCCCGCCGATGTTCCTTTTCTCGATCTTCGCGTTCCTGAAACAACTTTTCCAGTCTGGCGGTGTGCTCCTCCGTTTGCCGACTCAAGGTTGACGGTGTGGAAACAAATGATTTTGTGCTGTTGCTCCGCCAAAACGCTAGCCTACCCAGGTCATCCATGATGCCAGGAGGCGCCATGATCCGAGTGGCGGGGCCCTTGGGAAACTTGGTGTGTCGTTCTTCTTGACAATGTTTTGTTTGGTCTTCGGCGCAATTGCCAGGCTCGGTGGTGCACGAAGATGGATTGTCGAAGCTAGCCCTTTTTGTTGTCCAGTCTTAAGTCGACACACAAGATGGCCCCTCTCAGTTCATCCTGCAGTGACCATGTCCCTTCATTCCCTTTATTGGACAGCACCAGAGTTGGTGTGGTGGCACCGCCTCCCACTGGCCCGGAGACTCGAGGTCTCCACGAATCCTGATATAAGTGGCCACTTGCGCCGCTGCAGTGCCAATTCATCAACGGTGGGGATGGGTGGTCCATGGGCATGATCGTGTCTTGGTTTCCCGCTTCTAGGCCACGATCTGCATCCGTGGAACTGGCCAGATGCAATCCGGGGGCGAATTACCAGACAAGAGCCCAACACAACTCCCCAAACCCCGCATGAGGCCCCAGTAGGCCTCAGCACTTTATCCTTTGAGGGGTTTGGGGGAGCTGGAGCAACATGTGCAAAGGCCAAATGTCGTGTTGCATCGAAGGCATGTAGGCCAGGATGCCCAAGGCAAAAAAAGCTGAGATTTGGGTACTACATCGAAGCTACCTACCTTTGCTAACATTCACGAAGTGAATGAACATGTGTTGAAATTACTGCTTCAACTTCTTAGTATTTTTACCAGCAAAGAAAAGAGGAGTAAAAAGCTAAGGTGTCACATAGTGCCAAAGAAACTTGGGCTTAGACTTGCCTGAAAATTTCCATTTTGCATCTGTTTAACTGCCCTATGGTTGAGTAAAACCGTTGCGTGGTAGCAATTATAACAAAAAAGTCCAATTGGATGTCCAAGGTAAGGTTATGTACCCCCGTACCCCGTTGTGAGACAGAGGATACTTACTGTTGGCTGCTGTTGGCCGTCGACCACGTTTTCTTGCACCAAGTTGCTAACCAATGGCTCTCCCGGCGGCTGTTTGCTCACAGGCCTACCTTGCTGCCTTATAAGGCGCCGCAGGAGGGGGAGTCAACAGTTATTTCTTTCCCTTTTTCTGGGGCGCAATGTTAAATAAGGCCAAAGCAACCCAAAGACAAAAATATCTCAAGATCTGTAAAGGTCAAGGAATACTCAGCCCCAAACCTCCATCCAAGTGTGATCAGTTATTGCCACCGCCAGGAAGATGCCTGCAGAGGCGCCCGGAAAGCGTCTCATTGTCGGAATCGACTACGGCACAACCTTCTCAGGTCAGTAGGAATATACCCCTGGCCAACTGCTCCCTCACCCACCTGCTACCTGCTGACGCGACCAAGGCATTAGCTATGCTATGTCAACAACCACCAAGCCCGAAGACGTCAACTTCGTCTCCGGCTGGGGCTCACGCAACAGACGCTACCAACACGAACTGCAGGTTCCCTCACGCATCGCCTATGGTGAGACGACAGAATGGGGATACGGAATCCAGCCAGGGACGACGGCGTACTGCTGGACCAAGCTACTCCTCGACAGACACACCGAGATCACGGGGTTCGATGACACCGAAATCCTGCAGAAATTTGAAGGTCCCGGGCTGTTGCGGGTGCCGCGTGGGATGACTGCTCAGAAAGTCGTCAGAGATTACCTCGCCGAGTTGTACAAGTTCTTGATGAAGACGCTGGAGCAGAAGCTTTCGCACAGCATCCTCGCCGTGACGCCGATCGAGTTCTGGATTACACTGCCGGCCCTGTGGTCTGTCCGAGCCGATAATGCCACAAAAGATGCTGCTGTCGAGGCGGGATTCGGATCGAGAAGAGGGGACAGCATCCACCTGATCAGGGAGCCCGAGGCGGCTGCGATCGCGTCAATTCGGTCCATGAATTCCCGCGGCTCACATCCGCTCATCAAACCCGGGAATGGTGTTCTTGTGTGCGACTGCGGAGGTGGAACCGTTGTGAGTCATGTCACCGGGTTCAAGTTTGTTTTGCATCTCGCTAACATGACGCTTCTTAGGATCTTGCATCGTACCAGATTCAGACCGTCTATCCTAGGCTTAGCCTCAAGCAGGCTTGTGTCAGCAAGGGTCAGTTGTTCGCCTCCTTTTCTACTATTAGTGTCTTTAGGTCCTGACCCTCGTCAAACAACCAAAGGGGGCAAGTGTGGCTCCACGACCATCGATCGTGCCTTTTACAAGCTCATGTGTGATCGATTCGGCTCAGCCTTTACCGAGCTTGACTCCTCGAAGACAGGGCCCAACTCTAAGTTCATGCTGGATTTCGAAGCGATCAAACGGTCTTTTGGCGAGTCTGAGTATGAGCAGATCAATCGGTTGACTCTCAAAATGGACCGTGCTGAGGACTCGGACTACTACTCTGCAGATGATTATGAAGTCATCCTAACAGAGTATGTGAAAAAAAAAAAAAAAAAAAAAAAAAAGAAAAGACCCTCCAGGTTACGATACTGACACGTTGCAGCGACGAGCTCGAAGCACTCTTTGACCCAACCGTTGAGAAGATCATTAGTCTCCTTGAGCAGCAAGTCAGAGCAACGCGGGCAGAAGGCAGCCTCCGAGTCAGTGTATGTCAATGTTAGGCTAGCAGGGATGATAATCTTTAGGTGTAGCTAACCTGGCCTAAGCTGGTGGTCCTTGTTGGTGGATTTGGCGAGTCTCTGTATTTGTTCAGAAAACTTCAGAGTTGGTGTCAGGCTGGCAATATCGAGCTGATCGCGCCCAACAAGTCGTGAGTTTCTTTGGAGCCCTGCTGCTTGCTACCCTCATTTTGCTGACGTCTTCATGGGTCAGGTGGGAAGCGATTTGTCTCGGTGCCACGCTGCGAGGTCTTGAAGGGAATATCGTCAAGGAGAAGAGAAGCCGCTTCCACATCGGCGTCGAAATAGCGCAAACCTTCCGGCTAGGAGATGACGACGAGTTTAGCTACATTGACGCGTGGACAGGGGAAAAGATGACGAGGGGGTTCGCACAGTGGATTGTGAATCGCGTAAGTGGGGCACTCTTGCTCATTTCATAATGCGTGTCTTGTCTGACTAGGTAGGGTGCTAACACGTTCAATCTAATAATTTCAGGGGGAGACCATTGCAACGGGTATGACGAAGCAGACCGGCGAACTTCAGAGGAACTTTACCAAATATGATACGAGGAAATGGTCGGTTTCGATATACCAGAGCGAGCTAGCCGTTGCTCCAGAAAGAATACATGATGCGGGTGAGTTTCACATCCTATTCTCAGCTTTTGCCAGTTTGATGAGGTACCCCAGTGATACTAGCGTGTCGTCATTACTATAGGGGTCAAGCAAATTGGGAACGCCACCGCGGATCTGACCGCTGTCGATTTCAGCATCTTTGAAGCTAAGCACACCTATAACTCGCTCTTTCCCTCTGTGGGGGAGCAGGTCTGGCGGGCCGAACTTGTGTTTGAGCTGGTCCTAGATGACGATCTGGGATACATGTACTTCAGGGCCACTTGCCATGGGATGGTGATTGGGAAGACCACACTCCAATTTGGAGACAACGAGATCATCTAGTACTGTACATGGGTGCCAAGAGGCCATGAGTAGAGCAATCCATCAAAAAGAAGGGGCCACCCGGGACTTGAGCCCGAGACCTATCGCAAACACTGCTGTAGGGTGTAACCCTATTAAGCGGAATCATGCCACTAGACCAGCGGCCCTTGCTGAATTGTTGAGGAATAGCTTCGCCGAGCGGTTAAAGGTTTGTAATTGTTTTGTGGCTTGCGTGGGGTAGTGGAGATGGTGGAGGTGGTGTGGGTGGGTGGATAGGGTCGCCAAGCATATGGGGGACCACCTGGGAGCGGATATCAGCTGTGCGCTTTTTTGGAGTGCCCTGGTTTCACATGGGGGGGGGGGGGGGGGAGGGGGGGAGCTTACCTTGATCCATTCCAAAAGAGATATCTTCCAAAAATGAGAAATGGCTAGCCGTTGTGCTTCAACGCTCACCAACACCACAAGAAGCAAAAACGGCGCCTTCGCTTCTTTGCCCCAGCCCTGGAATTTTTGGCCGTTAGCGTAGATGGAGGATTCACAATCTCATTTCCATCTTCGCCGAATTGTACCTCCCTGTAAAGAGACTCGAGGGTATTCGCTACCTCAGGCCCGGGGTCTGTCGCCGTCGTCGTAGGCTGAGGTGGAGGCACCACAATCTCGTCGCCATCTTCGCCGAATTGTACCAGCCTGTAAAGGGTATCCATAAGGGGATTGGGCGGGGGCTGGTCGGGATTGGGATTGGGGGGCTCGACATCGTTTGTCGACTTTGGTTGTGGGCTTGGCTTTCGGGGAGCCTCTGTTGTTGCCTGCATTTCATCAAGCTCGACCTCAGTCTGGACATGGCGGGAGCCTGGCCCTGAGTTGTTCGTGTTGCAGGGGGGCCATTCCGCCCAGCCCCAGCCCCAGCCCCAAGTACTTCGTCGCTTTTTCCCGTGATGCTTCCGGCGATTTTCCTGCTGCATGATCTCTGCCATCTCCCTTTCGAGCTCTTCGTTTTTTTTCCTTGATTCACGCCTTTTCTCCTTTACTTTTCGCTCCACCATCATAGTCTCGGCTCGTTTAGACGCGCTTTTCTGAGAGATATTCGGAAAGCGCTGTTGTCTGATGTAGTGGACGTAGTCGAAGCGGTGCCGGTTCTCTCGTTCTAATTTCAGCCTGAGAGCAGACTGAGCGACGGGGCAGGTGGCGACTTGGGATATTTGGCTGTCCGTAGTCCGCGAGGACTGGTTGCTGGACACTGAGCCCTCAGAATTTGTTTGGGGCGTTGGGATGGCCATAGATTCGCGTTGTTTAAGAAGTAAATCGGCTTCGGGTGATGATGAGACGAAGCGGATTATGATGAGATGGAAAAAACTTATCACATCATTTGCCCGACGGAGGCCGAGGAACGTTAAGAGGTTCGACCCGTAAACTTTGATAGCTTGTTTCTATTTTAATCGTCATTCTGGTCATGTCTTCTACAGTTAAAGCTTGAACTTGTTCAGAGCTTCACGGTGCAGACCTGCATTTTGTATGTACACAGACAGTATTATTATCTTTCCCTGGTCCATGGGCATCGGGCTACATCCCTTTCGGCCTGCTTTACCTACTTAGCAGCCCCGTTGCGCTACCAACGCTCTGTAAAAGAGCTATGATGGGTAGTTCACTTCCAGGAGGTCTAAATACTGCCACTATGGCCAAGAGAGCTGTTGCGGCAAACCGATATGGGAGATTTTGGATATTTCTCGTCATAAGCCTCCTCGGCCGAACGCTCAAGGTCAACAACGGACGCCTTCCCCTCAAGCACCGGACGGATAACGCGCAGCGATAGCCATTACTGCTGAAGTATGACCCGTTGGTGGTATTCGGCCCTACATCAAGGTTGAGTTAACCACGACTTTCTTCGGGTGGGTCCAAGAAAAGGGGGCTTACCGAGGAGCAGGAAAAAGTTGGGAAAGCCGCTGAGAGCTGCAAAGTTGTACGCTTCTGGTCCGACAAAAGCCTTCCAAGTGCTGCTGCAAAGTCTCTCGGCCACGGCCAACGATCTCCACCCCATCCAGGATCGATGAACGTCTGCCTCGACCACCTCGCCGCTGCGCATGCGCACGCCGTTCTCCAAGACCTCAACGGCTGGCTCGTTGGTTAGAGTTATGTTGGGTAAATGCAAGCTCTCGAGGTACCCGGAGTCAAAGGTTCGCCTCTTACACCCGAGCTCAAACTTGGGAACCAGGATATCGTGATACTTTTCGGGTGCGGCGTTGCGCATGTGCCTCTCGGCTCTCGCTTGGTGACGCTTCCTAAAGGTCACAGCAGCCTTGGTCGAGGGGAATCCATGGTAGGCATTCTCAGTCAACCAAAAGATGATAAAACCTCTGAACCCTCAACATGCCCGGCGTGAGCTGCAGCATCATCCTCACCGACGACGGGATGACCTTGTCGATAGGGGGCATGACCCAATGCGGAGACCGCACAATCTGTGTCAGATGCTCCGTCTCCCGCACAGTCGCCGTGCACCCATTCCCAAAGACAACAACCTTCTTCCCCCTCGGCTCCACCGGCCGCCACCTAGCCGAGTGCACCACCTCCCCCCTGAAGCTCTCCGCCCCCGGCACATCCAACTCACGAGGCTTATCAAAGTGCCCCGTACCCGAGTACAAAAACTGAAACTCATGCAACGCCACCTCGCGCCGTGCTCACATCCCGCACCGTCAACCGCCCGCAACACTGAGGGAAGTCGAGAAGCCGGTGCGCTTTAATCTGAAGTCTTGCTGGGTTCCATGTAACGCCCCGAATACTTCAACCTGGTTAGGATGGTGCCATCACGTGCACGTGAAGAGGGTGTCACGACATTTGAGGCATGGGATTTCAGTCAGTTTCGGGGACGGCTAGCGGTCCGGCGTAATATTGAGAAGTGCTTTGAGCGAAGAAGTAAGAGTATAGTCATGTGCTATAGATATGAAATGATTTGATAACTAAGACATGCGTTTAGGCTCGTAGGTACCCAACTCACCGCTCCACGAGCTTTCCTGTCTTGCTGTCAATAGTGTGACGCGCGGTGAAATCAATGTCGTACTCGGACGACCCGTTCCTGACGAGGCGCAGCATCCACTCAGGGGCTCCTTTCTATTGTTTGAAGTCGATCAATCAGTGACCGAGCCTCATGAGAATTCGGTTGGCATGCAGTTTAGTACTTACGAGCATAGAGACGTAGCGCATAAACCCAGGCAAGATGAGGGTTGTGCCGTACCCGCTGTACAAGCTGTTGACGATGGCCTCACTTACCGTCCCAATTCGGAGCAGGGGAACCATGAAATTGGGGATGCCCGTTTCGCCGGTGAACATGGGTGTCCTGATAAAGTTGAACACGCCAAGGGTGAGGCGGACCTTGGGCGCCTTGTGGCGGTAGACGAGTTCCAGTTGAAGACCCTTCGCAGCGGCTGTCAGTACCAATGTGTGCAGATCTAAAAGGTGAGGATGGCTCACATCATGCATCGACTGGATGCCGGCCTTGGAAGCCGAATAGTCGACAATGTTTGGCGGGGCCACGATGCTGCTCGTGGAGCATACGTTGACAATGTGGCCGTGGTTGTGCTTGACCATGTCGGGCAGGAACTCCTTGATCAGTAGGAAGGGGGCGATCAGGTTCACCTTGAAGGTCATTTCGACGTCGGCGTAGAGGCCCTCCATGATGGTGCGGCCGCGAGCGATGCCGGCATTGTTCACCAGCACCGTCGGGTGGCCAACCTCGGTGCGGATTTTGTCACTGACAATCTTGATGTCGGCCGAGTCGCTGAGGTCGGCGCGGTAGTAGTGAATGTTGGAGCCCGCCGGCGGCTCCCATGTTAGGGGAACGAAATCGACCACGACGATGGTGGTGCGTGGGTTGCGAGCTAAAAGGTCATGGACAATACCGGCGCCAAGACCCTGGCTGCCGCCTGTCACAACGACGATTTCTCGATTCCAGTCCCACTCGCCACGGTTTGTTCGGGTCCAGTTGTTGGCGAACCACGTGGTGAGCCATTCGTTGAGCGACAGAACGAATCCCGTGGCGCCAAGGATCAGGGCGAGACGGCCGACTTTTTGGGTGAGAGCCGGTGAGACGGCCGACGGGTTGATGCCGAGGGACGCGAGAACGTGTGCGGCCTTGGCGAGATAATTGCCCGATTTGTCGAGATTGATAAGTGTGGCGGTGGCAGCGATGGGGAGCGCCAGGTGCTGGTTGAGCAGTGTTTTTCTGACGAATCGGGCAGCGATGTCGATGTTGAAACCTTCGCGTGAGCTCGCCATGGTTGCTGTTACTGTCAGTATTTGGCGGCTGGCTGGTTAGGTTGCATCGTCGAAGACGGAAACAGCGCGTCCATGTTGTAGTAGTAGTAGGAGTAGTAGTAGTTTTAGGCCACTCATTCCCCCGAAGAGGAGACTCGGTTGGTGACCTGGACTAGGCCAAATCAGGCTACGAGCGCTGACGCCAGCACGGAATGCACTGCTTCCCCGCAGAGGAAGCGCAAATGAGCACTAACTCGGACAAGCCGAGGCATCGTTTTGCTGACATTCTGCTTATTACCAGGGAGAGCTTGTTGACGCGCTTCTGGGTGTCAACACCCAGCAGCTCTTGGCTGCTCTTGGCTCCCTTAATTACAACGACACTCTGCCACGAAACCGGCAGTTCGTCGCTGGCCTCTTTTTTGTCTTTTTAGATTCCATTTGCATAGCGTCCGGCGTCTCTTATATCACACATTTCACACAATGGCAAGTCTTGACGCGTCAACAAGGGGAGATGCACCTCATGTATGCGACGTTGCTAACAGATCAACGTGCAGGCCTCAGCTACTGCCACGTCCCTCTCACTCACCGAGAAACTCGCCCTCATTCTCCGTCTTGCCTTTCTCGGTATGCCTCCTGCACCCAGCACCCAGCACCCCGCAAACCCCATCACTGACCCCGGACTCCAGGCCCTCCCCAACTCCTCCTCGAGGTAACCCGCTGCGTAACCCTCGCCGCCGTGCGCGGCATCCCGGTGCGGCACTACGTGCACAGCGCCTTCAACCGCTTCGCCCTCGGCATCCTCTCCACACGCCAGCTCCAATTCATGACGGCCCCAACGGCGACCGTCTACGAGCGCTGGATCCCCTCCCGCAAGGCCCTCGCCCTCAAATCCCCCTCCCCCCTCGCCCAATACGCCGCCGCC